ATTTTTGAAGTGCATTGTCCAACGATGCATTTTTACCATAAAACAACTCCGTTGGTTACTTTCTTTCGACATTTACAACTAAGAGCTTATAAAATAACAACGCAAATATAAATCCAATTATTAAAAATTACGGTTGTTCTAATTTTTCTTATTGAGTTTAGGAACGAGAGTAAGTACAGTGATATCCGACTTCCTTTAAGTTAAAATGTTCCACCATATACCATCCGTTTTTATCGGTGGTTCTGATACAATCCAATATTGTTTTTCACAAAGCGCATCGGGTGTCACGACCCTCTGGTTATGAGCCCCGCTCACCACTAATAAACAGACCCTTCTCGACTTGAAACCCGTAGAAACAAATCTTTCGTTGTGCATTTGCGAACAGTTTGGTTGACCCTTAATTGATTTACGACCCCTGCGTGAGCGACCGCTAGTTAACGTCCCATCAACATAATGTCGCATTCGTACCGGTGTCATTTGAAGCTCTTGGATATCGATTTTATCACACGCAAAGAGCGCCAATTACGTGATATCAAGAGAAATTTGGTTGTCGAGGATACACCGCGCCCTAGACATACTTGCCAACGTTTGCTCGTCGTTCAGCGACTTTCCTCAGGGAGATATGAGAAAGGTCGCAATATGACGGCCGAAACGTCAACTCTGCCTAGGACGCGGCGTCTCCGGATGTTTCTGCTGACTCCGACCGCAGGAGCGAAATATTTTGCGTGGCATCCGTAGACCAAAGGTTCTAAAGCTGCAGGACACTACGTCCGGAGACATCCACCCCGGAGATCCGACAGCTCCCCCATCTCGATCAGGTTTTATTAAGTTTCCCTGATTCATTGAGCAAATGCCGAGATGACCCCTTGTTTTGCTTCTGGACGTAAATGTTGCTTCACGATGCGCACGTTTTGCTGAGCTCTCCTTTTGCTTGTAGTGTTGGAGTAGAGGTAAGGGTGAGTTACTATTGTATTAACAATGCAGAAAAATCAAATGTACAGTTCCTTTACTGTTGCAAATGAGTTTTCTAAAACTCGGGAACGAAAATGTCTAGTTTTTCAAATGTTGCTATTCTCGCGCTTCTTTAAATTTCATTTCTATTTATTAATCTTTAACTTTTACTCATCCTTCAACTATTAATAGTTAAAACAATGGGAATAGATTCTGAAACTCAAGGAAACGTGCGCAGATCTTCTCCTCCATACGTCACATACCGTTTTTACTGTTTTTTGAATACATAAATCTAAATCTATGCCTTGAGGGAGCCGCTAGTGTTCTGCCGCCGTTCTAGTGTACCGAAAAAGGTGACTCAGAGCATCAAGTGATGCCACTGCAGTTCCTAGGCTTCGAATCCCAACGGACCGCCCGCGATATTTCCTTCCTCTTCTTTGTCCTATCATCATTCCTTACTTACACACACTACATTATCATACATCACGGGAGACGTTTGGGAGCTTCGAGTTTGTCTCGGCTGCCCCGCTGATGGGTGTTACCGCGCTGGCCGATAGGCAGGCCGGCGGCGGATTTCACCATCGAGCTAGGGAAGATCACCGCCCATCTCAAGAAAAAGCATTTATTACACTTAAGGGATGAATGCCCTTAGCCGCTGACGCGCCCGTAATCCTTTACAATAATCACTAAAACAATCACTAATAAATCGATCGTTAATAAATCGATCGTTAATAAATCGATCGTTAATAAATCGATCGTTAATAAATCGATCGTTAAATAATCGATCGTTAATGAACATCGTCGTTAATTATCGACCAATCGGTTAGTCAATTGGACCAAATCGGATTTAGTCAATTGACCAAATCGGTTAGTCAATTGACAATCGGTTAGTCAAATCGAACCCAAATCGGTTAGTCAATCGACGCAATCGTTAGTCAATCGACCAATCGGTAGTCAATCGACCAATGGGTTAGTCAATCGACCAGTCGGTTAGTCAATCGACCATCGGTAGTCAATCGACCAGTCGGTTAGTCCAATCTGACGCCATCGGTTAGTCAATCGAGTCAGTCGGTTAAGTCAATCGACCAGTCGGTTTAGTCAATCGACCAGTCGGTTGGTTCATCGATCAGATCGGTTGGGTCAAATCGACCAATCGGTTGTCAATCGATCCATCGTTTGGTCATCGACCAATCAGTTCTTCAATCGTGTTATATAAAAATCTGATCGTGTTGCAAGCGGGCCGCGAATGTTGGTGGGCGGGGGCGGCGGGGTGCACGCAGGTGGCGAGGAGGGCGACGCCGAGGTGCCGCGCGCGAGCGTGCCGGCGGAGCGGCCCAGCGTCGTGGAGGAGCTGGACGAGATCGACGACCCGCGCAAGTCGGTGGGCGTGGAGGTGGTGAAGTCGGCGCGCGGCGAGCCGGAGGAGGAGGTGCTGGAGGAGGTGCGCTCGGAGGGCTACCTCTGGGAGGGCCCCTGCGAGAGCTCCTCCGCGTCCTCCGCCAGCGGTGCGTACTCGCCACCGGGCGTCGCGACGCGTCGCGAGCTACGCGAATTCGGGGGCGGTTGGTTAGCCCCAGCGCACCTCGGTGGGTGACGGGCTAGCTTTCTGAATTCCTAGTGCGCAGGTTCTATTCCCGTAGAGGTGCGTGGATTTTTGATGGGCGGAAAATCCTCAGTAGCCATGTCATTCTTGTGGCATGTAAAAGAACCCTGGCGGATGCCCGGCAAAATTAAAATCTCTCCGACAATATCCCTCCCTAACGATACAACACATCATCGAAATAAGAGGAAAATGGACGAAGAGTCTCATTAGAGACATGCGTACCAGGAATAAACACTATAGATCCCTAACGAGATCTCACTATCTCCCAAACAGATTGCTAGGATATCGTTAACCGCGACCAACATCTGCCGGAGAAACACCGCGACCAACATCTGCCGGTCACACCTCAGGTGCATCAGGGAATCGCCCGCAAGTGGGACCTACTCACAAGACCTCCAGACCCGCGTCGGAGGTAGGCTTCAAAGAAAGCATGGGTCGAAAGAGAGGTTGTCATCCGGAACTGCTTTGAATATCCTCTTACGGGGATCGCATGCGATATATGCGTTACTCCTACTAGTTTGGCCTTAGATTACAAGCATTATTACAAAGGCGTGGTCTAGCAGACTACTTTGGGTAAAAATAAAGAAAATCTCATTTTACAATGATAGACTGAATTCAACGGATTAAACCTCTATGATGTGGAGTTACAAAATGTATTTTAAAGGTTTTTATAGATGCACCTAAATGACTTGACACTCACAGCACTCACTTGTTGGTGCTGTCCACACATGTCTTTTGAGAGGTATCCACAGAAGTACCTTGTCACGCGACTTTTGTTATGATCGCTATCGTCCCATTGTGATTGCTAAATGTTCAGAACAAAACTGTAATGCTATAAGGCAAGTAGTTTGTATTCATTATTACAATATTAGCCAATATAGCGGCAAAAATATCACTGATCTAAATTCAGAGTCGAAGTAATTGGACGACGCGTGTTAATATATCGTACATCGCAAATACGCGCACGATACGTGTGTTTTGCTGGCTAGTCACAAAATGAAGGTACACAGAGTTTCATAAACGCCGGTGAGGGGAAGAAACTTTCGGTACGAGTTACGTCGTCTGACAGACGACTCCCTTGTAATCTACTATTAGAGCCGTTGAGGAAGCTTACTTGTAGATAAAGACAGCATTTATATTACTATTTTGATCACATGAAATTAAAGATAGTTATTTTTGTAAAAAATATTGAAGAATCCATTAACCGACATTCGTTTTGCTCTACTTTGTACAACGTTTCGACAATTTTCTCTTTTCTTTTTCAATGACTGAAAGAAAGTTATTATTTCTTCTCCGATTACATCTATGGTGACTACAACAGTCATATTTTAGTAAGATAAAATTACCTAAAATATGACTGTTGATGATTTCTTTTGAAGGATGCAGTCATTGAGACGAAACGTTAATATAACAACCCCTTCATTCACTGAAGAATAATTAAATGTTAATTTGTAAACAAGTGAATATTTTCAACGATCTATTACTCCTAAGTCTATTGAATTTAAAAAAGGTTAACCTACGTTAAAAGCAAAATATCTGACACACGCAATACCAGGGTTCTAATTTGTGGCGTACTCATGGAGGACATCGGAGACATACCCCTTCCCAAACAAGAGCCTAGAGAAAAAAAATAAAATGGGAAAAGTGCAGAAAAAATAAAAATAAGTTTACCTTCCTTTATTGGGTAAAATTGGTTCAAATATGTATGTTAGAATTATGTAATAATTAAAAAAATATATCATATTGTATCTTACGCACACTGCAAAAATAATATTACTGCAAAAATAATATTAAATATAGTAACAAATATGTTTATTATTTAACAAAGATCTATAACCCCCTCAGATATGATCGGCTGGATTTGTCCTCAGTTCTAATCTTGGTCCCGTCATATAGAATTTATGGTGGACTTAATAGGTGTGTTGTGTTGTAGATTTTCTGAGGGATATCAATATTTCTCGGTCTCTCATTTCATTACCTCCTCCATCTTTCTGCACATTACACAATACCCCTCGCACCATTGTCACCACCATCGTCTCCACCTGCACCTCCGCATCTGAACGTGTGTGACGAATCGGTCAGTCAAGACGAATATCGCGTTGAGATTCTGGAAAAGGAGCGAAGTGGGCTTTTTAAATACAATATCAGATTTTTCAATGCACAAATCAGAACACATATTTTTTGATCACAAATAGAAACATTAAAATATGGAATAAAGTTTATATTTTGTAAACTTAAGAGTTTAAATTGCAGTTAGATTTTTGTGAGCTTGCACCCTCTAATTAGTTTAAAATTCCTCTTTCATTACTTGCCTTTTCAAATTATAAATAATTAATCAAATTTTCAGTTTCTCTAGAGTCATCCAATGTATACCTTGTAAATAGTTAATTTGGTGTTTGCATCATTCTGATTGAGTTATAATCATAATTATTATACATTTTTACAGAGGAAGAATCCTCAGAGTGGGAAGAAGAAGAAGAAGAATTTCCTCGAGAGGAATATATTCAAATGTACAAAACACTATTTTATGAGAAAATAAAATTAGGAAAGAAGAATATAATCTTACAGAAACAAATGCATGAGTATTGTAAAAAACGCAAGGTATAAAGTATCTAACGAATGTAAAATTTGTTGAAATGTTGGTATTTTTTCTGATGGTGTGATTTCATTATTTTCCAGTTGGATGTTTATTTTGAAGAAATTGAAACTCCAGATCCAAAATTGGAAGCAAAGTATACAAGACAACTAACTGCATTTGAGGAATTTGTAGAATTTGAGAAAAATAGGCATGTAACATTAAAAGAAGAATTACAAAAATTAGAATTGGATAAAATTGAAGCGGAACAAGATCTAGATCGTACTATAGAAGAACTTATTGCAATAGAAAAGCACACAGGTTCAGGTTTGATTTCTGCATCCAGTGGAAAAGCTTTAGGAGAAAAGGTATATCTAAGAGTATGAGCAAGTAAAATTAGCTAGTTTCAATTATCTTATCAGTAGTTTTTTTTAAATTCTGAAGTAGAGTTCAATTGTTAATTCGCTTTGCTTTTATGTTTCTTCATCTCGCCCCCCGACTGTTTGCCCCCCCCCCACACACACACACTCACACACAAATTCAGAGGAGTCATGTCATCTCATTTTCTCTTAAAGAGACATAAAACCACATTATAGATAAATTCTGTGTAGAGTGGAAGAATGCTGGGGCAAGATTTTTAAGACAAAATCGGTAGTAATTTCTGAGATATTGTTTTTTACGTGTATTTGTGAGCATTTGTCAAAGAGAATAAGATGAGTTAAGGCAAGATGTTTAAGATTTTAAAACTTTAATTTTCTATTAATAAAAGAAAAAATGATAAACAACGAATTTTTTTAATACCATTGAAACAATATGGATTCACCAATCTCATTAGGTACTTTTTCATGTTGTCTGTATTGATAAGGTTTTTGGGTCTTCTTTCTTCAAATACGTCTAATTCAAAAGACAATGTCAAATTCATTCAATGATCTCTCTCTTTTAGACAGTGGATAAGTTGTTAATAAAACAAAGAAAAACGATACAAGATCTTTACGAAACGCGACTTAGATACATCAAACTCAGAGATACCTTAGCAGGAAAGGAAGCAATATTGAAGAAGCTTGAAACATTGGGAGAAGGTTTACATTTGTTGGATTATGAACAACTCAGAATGGAGAATCAGAGTTATAGTGATAAAATTGAAGAACGCGACGAAGAATTAACGCGTCTACGGAACAGTGCAACATCATCAATACAAATATTGGCCCATATCAGAGAAAAAGCTAACTCAACATCATTGAGTATTGATGATCTTTATGATGATCTTGAATTTGTTGAAATGGAAGCAAACAGAGTAAGTACAAAACAATTCCATTTCCAAAAATTTTGCAGTGATGAATTGATATTAAAATAATGAAAACTGCAAAATATCATAAACTTTGCAATGAATGTAATCAACCACAATATTAACATTGAAACATTAGTAATAATAAATCTTATTTCAAATGAATCGGTTATTATAAAACCCCGTAAGTCAGAAAATGTTAAGTTGTGCGTAAACAAGAAAAACGTAATAATTAAATCCAAATATAACTTTTTTCTGTTTCTTTTTATTTCTGATGCATAAATCTTGATTGACAATGCAATAGAGACATGTAATTTACTTTTATCAATAGTACAATAGTCGCTGGTCTTATTTTAAAGTGTGTGACTTACGGGATTTCAAAAACTAATCAGGAGTTTTTTACCTAAACATGTAAATAACTACACATTGCAGTTTCACTTTGTAATTTGACACATTTATTATAATATTGTTTCAAAATACAATGTGAATTTACATCAAACATTGAACTATCTCATTCATAAGCCAGAAACACTTGTTTAAATATGTGATTCTATGGTAGTACATAGAAATATTTCCGTATTGAATATCCCTTTTAGCCAATCCCAATCTCTCTGTCAGTAATACCTGTCATACACACTGTACACATACATACACGCACAGTTATATATACCTCGCAAGTCAATGATTTACAGAGTTTTAAAATCAAACCAAAACTTTTCAGTATCCTCTCGGCCATTCTATTCATCTTGTTCGTAGGATTTACACATGGAACGATGCATCTACCCTGCAGATTTTCTATTTTCTCACAAAAAATGAAAATTCAAAAGAGAGTGACTTAAGGGGTTTTAAAAATAACCGATTCAAATGTCGCTCACAAAATAGTTCAAATTAAAATAATATAAATTTATCATTTCCAAGTGATGTAAAAAGTGTGAATCATTTCAAATTGAATTGATTAAAAAAATAAGTTCACTTTTTTGTCAAGGTTTGATGAAATATTTTAACCGTGTAACGTAATTCAAATAAGCAATACAGATTTGCGTTTTTCCAACGGGTACTATATAATGAGGTTCTCGACAAATTAACTTTGTAATGTCCAGAAGCTTGTGCTAAAGAGAAAATGTACTTTGAGCTGGTAAAACGCAAATTAATGAATTGACATAATCCAGGGACGAATAATGACATCTCTTTATCAAACCGGTATAGGGTGAAGTTATGACAATATCTAATGCCGAAGTACAGGAAGTGCAAGTTGGGTTTTCGAATATTCAAATGACCTTTCAAGTCTATTAGTGCCTCTTTGTGTTTCGGAAAAGTAGGGTTTCCTGCAAGTGTTGTTCCGGTTCCAGGGACAAAATCCAAAAATTACGCAATTCCTTTCTACGAGCACTAGAGCTATTGGGCAAAAAATAGTATTTATTAGTAGAGATAAGAGGAATTGTGTTGATATTTTACCCGTCAAACGACTCGGCCTGTACACATATATTTTCTAACATTAGCGCTGCTGGTGGACAACGTAAGTCTCCAACCGCTGCGAAAATCTCTCTCGGCTGCCTGCTAGCAGCGCTCCCGCGACGTCGACACAAAAGATGAATGCTTTTCTGTCACTTCATACTCGTCACCTTACTCCGCGTACAATCCAAACACCAATGGTGGATTTGTTGTTAAGATTAATAAGTTACAGCTTGGTACCTCAAGAGACCAAGGTGCCTCAAAAATGATAAAACAAAATTGGAAATTTGCTGAAAAAAATTGAAAATATACAAATTTATAATTAGATCCCGTACAGAAATAAGAAATTAAATAAATTATATGAACACTCTCATGAAGTTAAAACAGATTTATTCCAAACCCGGCATTTTGATTGTCATATTGTAGTGAATCGTATTATCGCTCTTATAAATTCGCAATATATTTTTGCTCTTATAAAATTTGCAATATACAATATATTTATATTGGGCATGACATTGTAGTGAATTGTAATTTCTCTTTATAATTATATCCAGTATATTTTACCCCTACAATTTCTTTCAATTTAATCTAATGGAGTGACAAGCTCTAATTTTTATTAATGTTTTGGGCAACTGCATACTTACGTTATCTGTCTTTCTCGTGGCCTAGAAAATTCCGCTCAAACGAGTATTCGGATGGTGATGATTTAATTTTGTTAGGTAATATCCTTAAACTTATATCAAAAATCAAACAAATTGTAATTTGTTACAGAATTGTCATCGACATGTCTCAGCTGACATATTAAGTTTTCAATTTTCTATTGTTTTAAAATTTGACAATCTCATTACATTTTTCTTATTGTTACTTTTTTCTTATCTATTTTGATAGCCATTGAATATCAAATTAAACATTCTTTTTCAAACTTAATATTATCTTAAAATTAAACATAACTTGGCCTTGCTAAAATCTTTTTAATTTAGTATTTTTTTCACTTTATTGTCTAAACTTTCTTTTGCGAAGATTATTACAGCAATATTGGTATTGTGACGAAATCGGCAACTATTCCATAATTTCATGCTGGAGCTCTTCTTATTACCACACTGAATTAGCTTTTACGTTTTCCTACCATTCGCGATCAAAATATATCACAAATATTTCTATTTTCGGTAATCCGTTATTGTTCATTTACTTCCCTATTCTTTGGTAACTGGGGACACATGTCCATTTTCTGTCTCACACGAACTAACAACAAAATATTTTTTCTTTACGCCTTGACGGCCATCGATCTTCACACTACAAAATTCAACATAGTTCTGTCCTAAGGTGTTTATTTTCACCTGCGACCTGTCTTAATCAGTTCACTTGTTTGAATGTTATTACTTTTAATCGATTTAATCGACGAGGGGCAAAACAAACTCAATTCACTGGCAATAATGTTCGGTCAAAATAATTAGCTATGGGCTTTTTTTTCGACGATACTACTTCGATTTTGTGAACAAAAAATATCAGAAACGGCATTATAGTCAGTTTTGGCTTTATTAATGATTAATATACTGAAGTGTTGAATTACATTGCAGTTGTTTGACTTATAGATATTAATGTGTTGTAGACGATTGTTATCAATTTTTAAATTTGAATAAAATTATTATTTTATGGCATATTTTATTTAATTTTGAATACTTTAATTAATTTTGAGTAAAAAGCCCTGTTCTCAGTCATTATCACTCAGTAAAACGGGGGCCTCAAAAATATTTTAGCTTGGGGTCTGGCAAATGGTAAGTCCGCCGGTGCCAGACACCTACGAAAACTATAATAATTATCAATAAATCTAAGTAAACTCATTTACTTGCAGTGAAAGATGTAAAAGATTCTTTCTCCAAAATATTTCTTATTTGAATTTTTGTTATTCTGGCTCAGCTCCTTCAGGAATCTCTGCTGCAGCGCCTTCTTTCTGTGAGAAAATGGAAAATTCAAGGGAACGTAAATAACTCGCAAACACCCATACATTCCTTTAAACCAGTAGTTTCCAGAGGTGACGGTAACAACCCCATGGGGGTCTATTAAATTTTTAAGGGGGTCAATGATGACTAAGGGGATGTTTGGGGGGTCTATTGTCGAACCGGCGATTGATCTATAATCAAGATCCCAATGATTACAAAAAAATGCTTGATAATTAATAATTTTCTGATTTAGAGCAACAAAACATAATGATAAAATACATATTCGCTTCTTCTCTCTTGTACACGTCATTAAATCTTAGGATAATGACCTATCACAACGGCTGTAGGGCAGTAGCTGATGCAATCCGTGCTCTGTACCGATCCCAGGAATTAAGGAACCCTTATTAGAAGACCCCCCGCGGATGTTTATCTGTAAAAAGTAAAACAAATCACACTCCATGCTTATTTTCTCCATTTCGCCATTCATATTCATATAACAATCAGATTTAAAACACTTAATTTCTCGTTTATTGCTGATAGAGGCCCCATTTCGACTTATTACACCGGGGCACCGAGAATGTCTTTAGGGTTTTTAGAGTACTCAACGAATTATTACTTCATGTATTCACAACAATACTCTATTGCGGAAGGAAACACACCATCCAATACACACTACAGAAATGTTATGGTCAGTTAAAAAACACGTTGAAACCTTAGCACAACGACGAAGATTAGAAATGCAACTACTTAGAAGCGTAATAATCTTGTTATTGAAAATATAGATATTTTTCAAACTATTTGTCTATGAAAAGGTTATCATTGAGACATTAATATACAATTCTTTGTATTTAATTATGTATGCTGTATATTATGTTGTAGAGAATAACTTATGGGGTCGATGAAGCAAACAATTCTTTTAAAAGGGGTCGATGAAAGAAAAAGTTGGGAATCCCTACTTTAATACAAATCACATTGATCACGTTTGTGAAATTCGAATCTCCATCCGCAGAGTACTTTAGAAGCGCCACAAAAACTCCTGTAATTGCGCCGGGAGATCGAGGGAGCCTTCCTGGCAGCCAGCGAAGGCACGGAGTGCCACAGAGCACCCTCCGACGGTTTAATCTAATCATTCTGAAAGCTTATGTCGAGTCGATTGAGCCAATAAATGCCGCCGTCTTTTTCCTTATATCGTGTCCGAGCAATTAACCTATACTTGGGGTTTTAATTGATTGGCGCGTGAGGACCTGTCTTAACGATGATCGCCATTATCGCCATGGCTGCATGATCACCAACCCAGCTTGATACAGTCGCGATCATGAGACATCTAGCGGCACTACAGAAAACGACGCGAAATGCCATCGGGAAGACCGGTTCTCATGCGTCCAATACTCTCGGAGATTTATGAAAGTGTCCGCCTCTGCTTCGTTTTTTCGCAACACTCTGCTCTTATATACATAACACAAATATAACGAAAAGTAATTCTTAACGGTCGGTGCCAGTTAAGAACACTGAAGGACGTCCGATACAATTTAGATGATCCTAAAAAGGAACGAGTTGAAGTGAAAGATGCAGCATACTAGTTTTTCAAAATATTTCTTATTTATTTATTTTATT